GTAGACCCAGGCTTGACACTCTGAGGCAGTTTACTATAACTGCATGCGATCATATCAGAATCGCCTTTGTAACCATAGTCAGTAGTAAGGATAAGCTCATTACCAGCCACTAGCTTAACCTTGCCACCAGACTCTTTGAAAAAACCACTTCTAATTTCAGGCCCTTTAGTATCCAGAAGGACCGCAACATGCTTCCCAGGACGCTGCTTCAATGCCTCTCGAATACGCTGGACCGTAGCACCGTGGGTTTCAAAATCACCATGAGAAAAATTGAGTCTGAAATTAACAGCCTCAGCTACGATCATCACAAATGTAATAATTACCTCGCCACGTTCATACCCTGATCGATCATCTTTACCAAGGTATCAACATCCCAACATGATGGTCCCATAGTGCATATGATCTTGGTCTTCCTCCCAAAAGTATCACTAGGATTAGAACTCCACTTAGACAATGCCGCCATGTTATCAGACAGCACTATGGAAGCTTGACCATACACGCAGTGGTCCTTGATAAAACGTCCGGTGTATCCATGGGTCGACAACATTGTGGGAGACAAAAAACTAAATCGCCACAGACGAGGCTTTCACCGTAGTACCCGGACTGCGCAAGACGGTAGCGCGCGCCCATTCAATTCGATTTGTGTGGGTTCCATTGCTGTGGTAAGTCCATGGATATCAGTAAATTGCCGGAACAACAGCAACGATTCATTGATGTCTGATAATCGGATAAGTTTCACACAAGAAGGAGACTCCATGAGCCCAGTTCGTGCAGCCCTCAGGTTGAAGTTATTGAATTTCTGGCGGCCAGAAGTGCGCAACTGTTGTTGGCAATCACTTGTTAATCTTTCTCATACCGACCGTCTGTAATGTATCAGCTCAGTGATCGGATCATTGTATCGTGATGCTGATCAGGGCTTTCGACTCCTCTCCAAATCTCAACGATTTCTCATTCCCTCTCCAAATTCCCACTTTAGGTGGAAACTGAACGATTTTGGAATGCTCTCATATACTGGCTTGGCGATCTGTTGCCCTTACTAAGGCGAGTCGAATGTCCCAGTGTTCAAGACCTGATCGCTGGGTGCCTGATAAAATCCTGATACATGAGCTTTGCGGAAGAACTTGATGACACTATCCAATGAGAGGCAATATCATCAGATAAATAATACCTGATTTCTATCACAATAGTGTCACTAGCGTAATGCTCGGGAAAGGGGAAAGGGCATCCCAGAGCACGGAAGCTCATCTCCCACACGATGAGAGATCATCACAGAGTTCATCGGAGAGATCACTTATAACAAGAAAAGAACAAGA